GGCACTTCACTAAGGGTAATGCTAGATGAACTTAAAAGTAGACTTAAAAATTAGACTTGATAATCTCAACCATTAAAAAGATAGTGAGTCCCAATAAATACTGGAAACCCACAGTGAAATCAATGGTTAAAATTATAAAATCTAATTTTTAAGTTTATTTTTTAAGTCCATGTAGTATTGCCCCTTCACTAAATACTTAACTCGTCTCATTAAATGCTCAGCTCTCGAGTAGGGTCATCATTATAGTATCGAACCCGAACGACTGCAGGCTGTCCCTAAGCCTAACAAATGTATGGCTCAAGGCCACCCTACGAGGAAGCAACCATTGATTTGACTGCTACGTCATACGTGTGGAATAATACGAGGATTTCACTCAAAAAGGTTGTTAGACGTATCAATCAAATATAACTTAAAGGGTTCCATGTTAGCATCCCTCACGGTATAAATTGCCCAAGGATTGGGCCTCAGGTATGCATGTATGATCAGCTTAAGTAGTTGCATTCCTGTCCTCTCTCTTACCACGAATGATTTAAGTATCGAAGGGGATAGGCCATACATACATTTGACCCCTTCCTAACTTTGTTCATTATTTCAAAAAATTTCAAGTGTGATATAGTTAGGTGTCGTTACCTCAACGATTGCACATAAATCACCGCGTGCAATTTTTATTTTTGTAGATAGTTACACTGTTTTGAAGGGAAATTATTTTCAAACATAAAATGAAAATAAAAAAAATATAATTCATTTGCAAAACATGTCAAAAACGACAAACCAAAACACATTAGAACACTTCGGAATATAAGACTTTTAATATTTAATCCCTTATTTATTTTGATTTTCATAGAAAAAGACATGTTTTGATTGTTTCAAACCAAAATTTAGTCCTTTGGCCCAACAACGTTGGTTAGAAAAAATTGGAAGATTTTCAATTGAGGGTAACTCAGATCAGTAATATATAGGAAAATTTGGGGCTAGTCCCTATATGTAGACTTATTAAAGTATGAATGAAACTTATTTAGGAATAAGTCTATTTTTATCTATATTGTCCAAAATACTCTTAGTAATTATATTTAATTAAAATAAAATAAAAAACTAACAACTCTTAAATTTTAGAAGTTTGACTAACATTAAAATTCTGTCTCTCTGTCTCTCTCTCATATCTATCTAATAGTTATTGCTCGTGTCTGACTGCACTTTGCAAGGTAAAAAAATCAACAACTAAAAAAATTGAGCATTAGCAAGAGAGAAAGAGGTACATGCATAATAATAATAATAAGTATCTAGAACCGATGAATATATACAAAAATGAACAAAATTGCCTACAAAAAAACATAAATCAAAAAATTTGAATACGTATATATTTTATCATCGTACCTTAAAAATTAAAATTTAAAGAACTCTTGAATATTTCTGATATTTTTTGGTTGAAGCAATACCAACAACAAAATTGAAAGAATAGCTACAAACAAGAATGTTTCCATCACTTTTCTCTCCATCCTTCTCTCTTCTCTCTCACCCCCAATTTTAGCTACAATCTCATCATCAACCACCACAATGTTGAGTCTCGATTCGCCCGTTACCTTGACTTTCGATTCAAAACCATCACCGATGGCATTGTTGACGATCACCCGGGTGATCGTCAACAATGCCATCGGTGATGGTTTTGAATCGAAAGTCAAGGTAACGGGCGAATCGAGACTCAACATTGTGGTGGTTGATGATGAGATTGTAGCTAAAATTGGGGGTGAGAGAGAAGAGAGAAGGATGGAGAGAAAAGTGATGGAAACATTCTTGTTTGTAGCTATTCTTTCAATTTTGTTGTTGGTATTGCTTCAACCAAAAAAATATCAGAAATATTCAAGAGTTCTTTAAATTTTAATTTTTAAGGTACGATGATAAAATATATACGTATTCAAATTTTTTGATTTATGTTTTTTGTAGGCAATTTTGTTCATTTTTGTATATATTCATCGGTTCTAGATACTTATTATTATTATTATGCATGTACCTCTTTCTCTCTTGCTAATGCTCAATTTTTTTAGTTGTTGATTTTTTTACCTTGCAAAGTGCAGTCAGACACGAGCAATAACTATTAGATAGATATGAGAGAGAGACAGAGAGACAGAATTTTAATGTTAGTCAAACTTCTAAAATTTAAGAGTTGTTAGTTTTTTATTTTATTTTAATTAAATATAATTACTAAGAGTATTTTGGACAATATAGATAAAAATAGACTTATTCCTAAATAAGTTTCATTCATACTTTAATAAGTCTACATATAGGGACTAGCCCCAAATTTTCCTATATATTACTGATCTGAGTTACCCTCAATTGAAAATCTTCCAATTTTTTCTAACCAACGTTGTTGGGCCAAAGGGACTAAATTTTGGTTTGAAACAATCAAAACATGTCTTTTTCTATGAAAATCAAAATAAATAAGGGATTAAATATTAAAAGTCTTATATTCCGAAGTGTTCTAATGTGTTTTGGTTTGTCGTTTTTGACATGTTTTGCAAATGAATTATATTTTTTATTTTCATTTTATGTTTGAAAATAATTTCCCTTCAAAACAGTGTAACTATCTACAAAAATAAAAATTGCACGCGGTGATTTATGTGCAATCGTTGAGGTAACGACACCTAACTATATCACACTTGAAATTTTTGAAATAATGAACAAAGTTAGGAAGGGGTCAAATGTATGTATGGCCTATCCCCTTCGATACTTAAAATCATTCGTGGTAAGAGAGAGGACAGGAATGCAACTACTTAAGCTGAATCATACATGCATACCTGAGGCCCAATCCTTTGGGCAATTTATACCGTGAGGGATGCTAACATGGAACCCTTTAAGTTATATTTGATTGATACGTCTAACAACCTTTTTGGAGTGAAATCCTCGTATTATTCCACACGTATGACGTAGCAGTCAAATCAATGGTTGCTTCCTCGTAGGGTGGCCTTGAGCCATACATTTGTTAGGCTTAGGGACAGCCTGCAGTCGTTCGGGTTCGATACTATAATGATGACCCTACTCGAGAGCTGAGCATTTAATGAGACGAGTTAAGTATTTAGTGAAGGGGCAATACTACATGGACTTAAAAAATAAACTTAAAAATTAGATTTTATAATTTTAACCATTGATTTCACTGTGGGTTCCAGTATTTATTGGGACTCACTATCTTTTTAATGGTTGAGATTATCAAGTCTAATTTTTAAGTCTACTTTTTAAGTTCATCTAGCATTACCCTTAGTGAAGTGCCTCTTTGAGTAAAACACAATTGGTCCACATAAGCGAGAGTCATGCCTCCTTTATATTATTTGTGGGATCTAGAGCTGGTTCCTACATGATGTAGATGACATAGTTAATCATCCATATCGCGTGTCTCATTAGTTGTTTCGGATGATTTCAGAGGCCCCTTAGATGGGTCGCTTCGGGTGTCTCAGTTGGGGGTATGCCATACCCTGGACGTTCTAAGAAGCAATAGCTCCAAGGATGTCTTTTGGTTTGATGAGGCTCAGTTTGACGATGTTCGGCTTACTGAGTGCCTTCTCAATCTAAAGGCGTTCGATGGATTAGATGCATCTGAGGAACACCTTAGTATACATGTCTTTCAATGATAGGCTCGTTGACTAACGTTAGATCAAAAATTATAATCTTTTAATGGAGGCCAACATATTGCTATTATTAGATTAATAGTGACTGTCAATATTGGATGAAATCTACTATTAATTCAATGGTAGAAACATATTAAATAAACAAATTAAATACAAAGAGTATTATTGATTTCTTTTTGTTTTTTGAGAAAGAGATTTTTATCATTTTAATCACTTGCTTTTAGTGGTGGAATCCACCATTAGGACACATGAGAGGTTCAAGAGACTGCAGGTGTTTCAGCTAGGGGGAAAAGGATAAATAAAAGGAATGTCCATCGTATTATGCCCTCTGTTTCTCAAAGTTTCGTCAATTTTGAATTGTCTAAATCTAATTTTTAAAACTAGATGTAATTTATAGTAATCTATCAGTTATGTCTAATTTTTCATATAACATAAAAAAATCCGGAAAACTAGTTTTGAATTTCCACCAAATTTTTTTTAGGGTTCTCTCGTTTGTTTTAGTGGAAAATTGGTCAAAACAACTAATTATTACGATAAATTGAAAAAATTAGAAGTTAATGGAATAAATTCAAACTTGGGTTGTAGTTCAGTGAACATCTATGAAATTTGCCTAAAAACCATTAGAGAATTTTCAAATGGAGAAGATACAATTCCATTGCATGTCTAGTGCATGTTTGTCTTGTCCTTATATTACGCATGTGTTGTTTCCATAATGTCAAAGTCATGGTATATGATTGGCTAGAGATAATATTCGGTGCTCATCAGACACCTATAAAATATTGTACATTTTTAATCAACTAGTTGTTACACACGTGTGTTGCATGTGAATTATAGCGAATTGCAGTTATGTTGACAAATGTAGTTTGAAATAGAAGTCTAACATATTAATTCTAGAATAAAACACTGAACATGTCTACCAAACTTTATTTAACTTAATGTAAATATAAATAAATACTCTTTTTACTGCAGAAAAAAGTTTTACATGAATAATTTTGAGTTATAATTTTGTAACTGATTTCATTGAAATGTCAAATAATTACTTAAAATTTTGTCTTCAAGTATACTAATTCTTGTAAATAGACATATATTAATAACCATAAACCAAAAGAAAGTTTCAGCTATTCATGTTTAGGTTAGTTGTTTTATGTGAAATATGTACAATAAATTGAACTCAGTTGGTTTATGGCCACCAACCCCGCTATTGGACATCAAGGTCGCAGGTTTGAACTTTGTCGTCCACTTCCCTTAATAGCGCCCAACAAAAGGAAGGAAAAAAACAGAATTCTACCCCCATCTTTGATGAAATGTCAAGCCTGGTCTTTCTTATATGTTATTTGGTGTACTCCAAATTCTTCTTTGCTCATCAAAGCTTCCAACTACAGCTGACTGCTGTTTATCACCAAGTTGATTTGCAAACAGATCATAGTATGCCATAGGGTCAATATGTTGCAAAATTTTTACTGGTTTTCCACGAATGTTGTCGATAATCACTTGTCCATCTTCGGATTCATCACCTGTGGAAGAGACTTTAATGTGTTTGATTTCAAATGTCGATTTCAGATCATCAGCCAAGATTACTGCACCAAGAATTTCCCCAACAAATGTATCCTGCAGCAGATAGTAAGTCATTACGACTATGAATAGCAACTTGTTATAAAAAACCAAAGTTCGCATTTCAGCCGTTGCAGGCTGAAATTTATTTCTTTCAAAATGAAATTTTGATCCTTGGATCAGGACATTCCATGATACTCAAGGAGCATGGTGTCGTATCCAAGGGGTTCCACTAATACATCATAAAGTGGGTCCAGGTTTTAGCAATGCACTCTTTAATATTCAAATCTTTTAGTGATGTTTGCCAATTCTAATCCCGGGAATAAGGAGAGTACTTAGATCGTTCTAAAGTAATGATTGACCAATTTCAAAAAAATTATCATTGCCATACCATATGTTTATATCTGTAATGTGTTCGTTGTAAACGCTGCATTGTTCGCAACAAACGCGTAGCAAACAGAGCTTCAGGTGTCCTCCTCTTCTGAAATAATCTAGCTAGAATCGTAGGAGTATCGCAGACTTTACGTTGGATTCCCAGTGGAATAAGTGTAACTTTGAGTTCTGATTCCAATACTGTCTTTGCAGCCAACGGATCAAGAAACATGTTGAGCTCTGCATACTCATTTGAAGGAACATTGAGGACATTTCCTTTTTCTTTATTATTGTAGTTGATGTGTCCTCCAACTATAACTACCTCCTGCATCAGATTTCAAACAAATGTAATCCGTTCATGAGTCGTGTGACTGTGTTACAATGTTTTTGAAACTTGCGGGTTTTAGTTTTTGAAAATGGTTTTTGAAATATGTCATTGCATGGAGGCTTTCTATGTACACCTTTTGGTACTTAGAAAGTTATTTTAGAGTTTTGGTTTTTCAAGTAAACCTGTGAATATCGAGCGCCCTCTTGGGACTTAGGAAATTGCATGAACTATCATAATCTTCAAAACCATTTACTCCAATGATTCTATATTCACAAGATTGCCAGAGTACACAAAGCCACTGACCTGAATAACACAGCTTATGTTTTTGCGTGAAAGAATTATCTTTGCTAAGGTGGTCAAGGGTCCATTTGTCAGTATTGTAATCTTAGATCCTGGATCGAGTGATTTTATTAGAGGGTCCCAGATTTCAAGTGCTAGTGGTTGTCTAAGTTCAGGGTGATCTGTATCCCGGGGAGCTCCAAACTTTGCAGAATTCTCTGCTGTGTACCTGGAACAAAACTCAGACATCAGTCCAAGATGTTTCGAGGTGATTGAACATCGAAATTTCATAGAATTCAAAACGAATCACTGATTAAACATCAAAATCCATAAATTTAGCAGATTGAAATACTAGCATCTTGCGTTTGGAGAAATAATCGTAATGGTGATGGTGGGTACCTCCGAGGGCTTCGTGGCAAATCACGAGCTAGCCCGTAAAGAGTATCAGAGTCCAAAAGTCCACCACCTCCATGGGGGATAGCCTTGCTATACTTGCAGTCTCCAACACCAACTAAAAGCGGATCAGTCTGGTTCATTGCAAATACATCCCCTAGGCCAACAGGAATATCATCGCGCCCCATCATGTGCAGTAAGTCATAGATGACATCAATAGTTGCTGCATTTGCCCAGCCAGTTGGACTTACTAGAATTGCCTGTATGAACAATGCACATTACAATTGCAGTTTGCTCAGAAGAATTGCCTGAAACTAGTTTTTTACTTTCAATCAGACATAATTTCCGGGCTTTTTCCCAGTATGACTATCAGGCTACATGTTTGCTGAACTTTAAGTATCAGTGCATTCAAAGCCAAGTAATCAAAGATATCCTCTGGAGCTAGTTTTTCATTTGAGCTGAAGCTACTCCTCAGGATAGATCGAAGCAGACAGTGTCATGAAGGGTGAAACTGGCAAAAGGGAAGACTAATTTACCTTGAGATTGGCCACTTCCACAGGTAATTTGAGAAGGTAGAAAAGAGCTAGAAAATCTCCCGCGCTCATATCCATGTCAAACACAACATTTTTCCAAGATTCTTCCCTCCAAAATCTTGTTTGTAGAAAACTTGTTTGTAATAAGGGAATTGTGTCGTAAAATTGAACCTTCCACTATGTTGAGGGCGGTTTAGGACCTGTATTCGATAATGGATATAGAATTATGATCTACCAGAAAATGTATCTTGATAAAAATGTAATGCACCAACAGCACACTAGCTTAATAATATTCCAGGAACTATTTCATTTGTCCAATCAAAATAAATTGCAAAGACATGAACAAACCTTATCCTTTGCATACATAATCCGTAAACATAGTACAAATAGAATTCATATACGATGAAGAAATGAACTGTTGTTTCTGGAAGGTAAAGAAAAAGACTTACATCCAAGAAGCTTTTGAAAAATGCTCTGCTTAGTGAGCTTCTATTGTCCTGACTAGGTTTTGCTCTTGTAGCAACAAGCACCCTCACTGCTTCTGGACCAGTAACTTCCATCGTATAACCATCCTGGTTAGCATGCATTCAGTAGAAAATGAAGTAAGAAACAAAAAATTAACCTCTTAATGTACTTTATTAGATTATTTAGAAAAGCCCATATAGATTCAAAAAATAGATATAAACTCTTTAATAGTCGGTCATTACCTTACATTTCCCTTTTCCATTCTTGACAATGCAAAATGGATCTTGAAGTCCAGTCTGAACATGACCACTATGTACTCCATCTTTTTTCAATTTGAACTTGGGCGTTTTGAGGCCATTGAATAATGGATTTGAGCCATCGAATATCCCATAAGGTTCGTTTGAAGTAACTACAGTTATATTCATGTACTCCATTTCAGCAAATTCATTTTCCCCAGCATGGTTGTGTGGCTTCCTCATGATTGAAGCAGCTACACCTGCTGTGAATGAGTCCCACATAAAATAACTCTGCATTAAATGAGATTACAAATCATTACTAGAGTTGAGCAAAAATGTTCATGTAGTTGAATTTAAGAATGTAAGGATAATCAAACTTAATGCCCATCTGATAGATTACCGTATAGAACTGATCATCAAACCAAGTATCACGAGCCATTTTCAAAGACTTGAAACAATATTGAGCTTCGTAAGTATGCTGATTCTGTTCAAGTACCTCGAAAAAGTTTTGAGAAATGGGGATGGTGTTTGTTGCATCCAAGGGAACAAGGGTAACTGGAATCCCAGAATGGATAACCTACAATCATTAGTCAACATTAGGTATGGTTCGAAACAATCATTACTCATATACAAAAACAAGCATAGTACCTGGTATGCAGCAAAAGGATCTCCAAAGATATTGAACTCTGCATAAGGATTACTAGTGTAGTCTGTGAACAAATTACCACGATCGCCACACTGTCGTGGCTGGCAAGATGAGGTGGTGGCATTTTTCGGGCAGCAACCAGTTGGGTTCTTTGACCTCACACCACCACCCATGATGTAAATATGCTTAACGTTCTTTTTCAACCGTGGATTATTTAGAAGAAATATGGCAAAATTTGTATGAGCTCCAATGAGAATTAAAGTTATGGGACCAGCAGATATTTTGTCGATCATTACTTGCTGAGCAGTGGGCTGTCGAAAAGGAGAATATCTCCTATTTCCCTGATTTCATGAAGAAGAGATTGAAATAAGAAGGTATTACCAAGAAGGAGAATGTGAATCAATGCTGAACATGAAGATGTCAAGTGTCCTTGAGTTTCAGACACAAAGAAAACAGGACTAATCCAGTCTCATACAAAACACCACTCCAAATTGTGAAGCAGAAAAAATCAAACTTACATTGATGACAAAATATAATCTATAGCTTCTACATTGCGTTTGCGTTTTTATGTAATACTAACTAATGCTCATAAGCATATGTTTTGCATAGGGTGAAAAATAAACAAAAACTCTAGCAACAAAGGACGAATTCCACGAGTTCTAAAGAAAAAAAAACGATTTGTGCACTTGAACAAATAGAGAACATCTTAGAAGGTTGTTGTATTATGTTAGAAGAAATAGCACATTGGGTTTCACTGCAGTTTAGATTATTATTATATATGCATTTCTCTTCACTATGTACACGTAGAACAAATTTCAATGTTCTTTTCAAAAAGAAAATCCCCTGTTTTGTGGTAAAATGATTCGTCAAAACAATGCATCAAGGAATACAACATACAACACAAACAGCAAAAGAGAGACACTGGACTTTATCATTAGCAGGATCCACACCTCCATAAAGCTTATTATTATGAAGAGAAAACAACCAAAACAAACAAGCCTTCCTGCTATGCCTAATTACATTTAAATCCACAATTTGTACCCTATATCACTGTCAAAATGTAGATTCTTACCTGTGGGAGGAAGCTTTTTCGGAAGCCAAAGTTCGTGTCGATATCTAATCGTCCCCAAGACCTACCGGAATAGCTTGCCTATATCTACAATAGCCAGCTGTACCAATCCCCTGATGAAAATATAACTAAAATGTAAGAAGTGTATGTATAATTGGGACTTAAGAAAACAAAGTAAGTTTCCTTCAACTAATTCAAGTGATTCAATCGATAGGAAAGTTGTCTTATTGAACATTTGATTATATACAACCTCGTGAACATTACAACCAATCAATCGAGAGTTTTCTATACATTTGCATTTCAAGTTTCTATCTATCCCCAAATGCACAAGAAAAGGTAGAAGTCCTCTGCACCTGTTCAATTATTGGGAGATATCCCCAACATTTGGCAGTATGGTACCATCTTCAAGTATTCCACCCTCACCTCCCACCCCAACAGCAATGCCATCACGACCCATCATGTAAAGAATGTCATATATTTGATTCACAGCATG